TCAAACATTTAAACAAAATTCAAAACTCGATTTCAAGAACTAATAAAATTGAGGAAAATATCGTATTACCAATTATAACTCCAAGATTTGCTCCAAGTTGCACTTCAAATTTATTAAACTGGCTTGGTGATCTATCCAAAAAGAATGATCTACACATTCAAACTCATATTTCGGAAAATAAGAATGAAATCCAATGGGTTAAACAATTATTCCCAAGCTCCAAAAATTACACGTCAGTTTACGATGACCACAATTTATTAACTTCAAAAACAGTTCTAGCTCATGCAATTCATTTAAACAATGATGAAAAAAAATTAATTAAATTAAAAAAATCGGGAATATCTCATTGCCCAATTTCAAATTCCTCAATTACTTCGGGCGAAGCCAGAATTCGTTGGCTATTAGATGATTCAATTAATGTGGGTTTGGGTACCGATGTGTCTGGTGGATTTGCTCCCTCGATTCTTTCGACTGCTCGCCACGCTTTATTGGTTTCTAGGCATTTGTCTATGAAAACATTTGAAGAGCACGATAAATTGTCAGTCAACGATGTCCTATATTTAGCTACATTGGGTGGAGCAAAAGTGTTGAGTTTGGAAGAGTTGATAGGAGATTTCCACGTTGGTAAGAAATGGGATTGCCAATTGATTAATCTCCGAGAAAGGGATTCCCAGGTAGATATCTTTAGCTGGCAATTACCGAAATATTTCCATAATAAGTTGGAAAGAGAATTTATTGGAAATGATAAGGAACAAGCTAGTAGTGATATAATTGATTCCAGTGATAACTTAAAGCTCTCGGCAAGTGAAAAATTACAACTTGATGATACCAATAATATAAATTCTGATGATGATTATGATGACGATCTTGATTATGATTTATTAGAAAACGGGGATTTGGTTCTGGAGGATAAAATACTATTTGAAAATATAATAGCCAAATGGTTATTTAACGGTGATGATCGAAACACCACAAGGGTTTGGGTAAATGGTAGATTAATAATTGATAAATCTTCTTGTTAGCTGTTTTGTAGGGCGACTCTTTTTAATATTCCACATTAATATTCCACATTAATATTCCACATTATTATTTCACATTATTATTTAGTTCAATGTCAAAATATACAGAATCTTGATTTGGTGTTCAATCAACTATCCAGAACTGGTAAATTAGACTAGTTTCTTCTATTATATCGATTAAATATATAAGGAATTCATGCACCCACCGTGGTGGTAACTATGTGAAGTGAGACCATGCGCAGATATGCAGATCATGAACCCTATTTCTCTCAAAAGCCGGTTTCAAAGCGCTTAATGAAAAGAACCTTTAAGTCTTCACCACTCAAGCCGAAATATATTTCATGCTTCTTCAATGCTTCTTTCTCTTTCTCTCAATGCTCCAGCAAAGCCAAACTTCTTTGCTTCTGTGGGGGCTCGTTGCAAATTGACAAAGAGGTTTGTTTCCTTTGTTCTATTTCCCTTTCTATTTCTCGCAACCACCATCTTTATTGTGCTTCAATCGTGGAGCGAGGAATCCAAAAGAGCTTTTGAAACTTTGCCCTTGCTAGTTGCTTCTATTGCCACCAACGACGACAATACACATTGCCCACTCAGCTCGTTTGAACACAACTATCTTGAAAACAGCTTCACTCCAGAGATACCAAAAGCTGATTTCACAGCGAGCGATTTAGCATCCAAGTTTCAACTGTTGGTGAACGAAACGACCATCGGCGCATACAACTCCTACAACAATATTAATATCAATTTGCATCTGAAGCTGGAATATGGCCAATTTTCGTCCTCTGTGATCAGACTATTTAATGCAAGGGAAGCCTCTGCTCCTGATTTTGATCCGAGAACTCTTCCTACTTTTTGGCTCTATTTGATCAATCAGCATTTGATATTAAACAACTTGATAGCGAATCCCAGCGCTTCTTTGTTGTCTCCAAACAACACTGAAAACAAGTATGTATTTGAAATATCAAACAACTTCAAACTCCCTTTCAACTGGAACGATCTATTGAATTTTTACGACTCGCTCAAAGACAACTCCTTCTATTATTCCTTGATTGTGTCAGGCTCAAACTGCAAAAGCCTTTTATATCAGGATTTGGCGTTATCCAACGAATTCACATTAAAAGAGTTTGGAAAAGTCTGCTCCAACTATAAGAATGTGTATCCTCAATCATACACCAGCAGCCAGATTCAGGACAAGCTACTACAGTCTGTATATCTCAACTCGCACAAAACAGAAACAGATGAACTGCAAAAGAACAACAACCAAAACACAATCTGCCAGCCATTTGACAATCCGTATAATTTGCCATTCCACAATCTGTACAATTTGCCATTTCGACTTGTTTCAAAAGTTGATACCTATTTAAACGATTTGGAGATTAGAAAAATGTACGGGTTCATATATGGCCTTACAGGATTAGAAGCTCCTCAACGAATCATTTTTTTGAATATACTCAATGAAAACAACACTGCACATCACACCAATGGTTCAAATGGCACTTCAAATCAATATCCAATATACGGCAAACGCTCCTTGGTCATTCCAACTTATTCTGTTTCTGATGGAATCAACAACATCAGAAACAGAAGGGCAAGGCAAAACTTGTACACTGATATGTTGTCCACCTTTTTCATCAATAATAATCTTAAAATCAGATCCTATTCCACCGATTACTCGTCAAAAGAAGATGCTCTCAATGAAATTATCGAAAATGGTATTAATTCTTATAATGAAATTTCCAAGTTGAATGCCTTTTATCAACGTTCCGAGATCAGCAATGGCGCCAAAAACGTTTCAGCTTTTTCAAAGCCGGGTGCACTAGACGGTAATCAAAAGCAAATAGATTTGCTGGAAGATTGTGAAAATTATGATTTTTCATTTGTTCAGCCCTATGTTTTGAAAAATTCCAACACAGGCACAACAAATCGTCATCAGCCGTTACATATCGATTTTTCTTTGTTTCAATGGAACTTATCAAAAGAACATGAGCATTTGCAATCACATTACTCAGCATCTGCAAACGAAAAAGCGCATACGAACAATACAACTTGCGAGGATCCCACTATTCAAGAAGCCATATCTCAAAACACTGAACCGTTGTATACTACACATGACATTGACTATAAACAAGTCGATCATTTGAAAGCACTAATGGAAGCAAGGTTGGGCAAGATATGGATCCCGGAAAATCGATATTTTGGTCTAGCTTCAACTAAAGACTACAACCTTGATCATTATGATTTTCGGTTTTTCAAAGACATAACCAAAGACGACCAAGCCCATCATTTAGCTATATTGCATCGCTTAATGCGTGTATGGTTTCGATTGTGTCTTCAATTCAACATTCCCTCCTGGATCAACCATGGATCCATCATTGGCTGGTATTTCAATGGACTATCGTTGCCATGGGATGCTGATATTGATGTTCAGGTTCCGATTCAGTCACTATACAAACTCAGCAAAACCATTAACAATACTCTCATATACGACTACACTGATTTCGGAACATTTGAAGTGTTTAGCCAGGAAAAAAAACTAGACTCAAATGCAGAGTTTGGACTTCGGGGTTTTTACTTTGATGTCAATGAAAACTTTCTATTACGAAATCAAATTGGAAACCCCAATGTGAACAATATTGATGCCAGATTAATAGATATCGAAAGTGGGGTTTACATTGATATAACTGCACTAACCGATTTTACATCTCAAACGAATAACGAATTGATTACCAAACTATTGCTAATAGACAGTTATACCGAGAATGAGCTAAACAAGCTATCAAAAGCCAAGTTTTATAACGAGTACTACGAGGGCATTCGACTAGTAAAAGAACTACGGGATTCTCTATTTGCCAGAAAAAAGTCGATATTTAATAAGACTTTGGAAAAACTTCAAAATATAAAGCTTTCCATATCCACGATGAAAAAAATATTAGTTGATGTGGAATCAAGGCGAATTTCAGAGTCCCAATCTTTAGAGTCCCAATCTTCAGAGTCCCAATCTTCAGACATCTTTGGAAAACACTCGGCAGAGACACAAGAGGAAAAAGAATATTCCAATTCTTATTTAGATTATGATGATGACAAAATCCAAAACTTGGAAGTGTCGGAAAAAAAGCTAAAATTGTTCAAATTTGGATCTGTTTTTCCACCTTCAGAAGACTTGAGAAATTCTGAAGTTTACCAAAAAACCAACAGATTGTTTGAAGACTTTTTTCACAACATGGTCCATTGTCGAAATTATCATTATTACAAAATCGAGGAATTGACGCCCTTGATCCCAACATACTATGAAAACACAATTACATATCTCCCTGCAAATTTTCTTAAAAATATAGTGATTGAATATGATACAAAATCAATTAACAAACTCGAATTCAACGATTACAAGTTCTTCAAATACTTGCAATTGTGGATAAGTTCAGGCGACTGTGACTTCAAAATGATGAATGTTGATGGACAAGTTGGAGGAATGGGTGATGATGAGCATTTGGGAGAAGAAGATGACGATCAAGATAACACTTCTGGAGTTGAGATCGATGAGGATTCTGTTGGCTTTGTCAATCCTCCCAAAGAAGAATACTCATATTTCCAATACCGGAAAAGACATAAAAACAATGGGCATTTTCAACCACTTGAAAAGAAGAGTATCATAGAATTTGAATATAACAATATAGATCTATATGATGGAGGTGATAAAACAAAATTTGAATCCAAAATCAGTAATTTTGAGAGAAAGTTGGGCAAAAACTGTTACATCACAAATGAGTTTGTTCAGGGAGAATTTACCCAATTTAAAGACTATCTCTTGTTACACAGTTATGAAATTGAAAAGCTTTTTGGAATTGCAAACAATAGACTAAATCTTGAAAAACCAAGTGAAACCAAAATATTTCCGACTCATGGCAACGAGCACCATCATGGGGATGGCCATAGTGGAATTATCAAATACGAAGAAAAGTACATGCAAGAAACACTTGAAAGTTTCAATGGGGAAGTTCTAAGGCCTGAACCATGGATAATTAGAAACTACTTCAGTAAAGAAGAAGATAGTAGTATAATTTAAAGGCATTGTTCTATATAGATTTTTGTTTTTGTTTTTGTTTTTGTTTTGCATCTTACCTTGATTCAATTCAGTTTATTTCAATTCAATGGAATTTATTTTTATATTCATTAATGATCCAACTATTTGAATATGCTGTCTTTTTCAATTTTGAGGGTGGGATAGAGAGAGGGAGAGAGGAGGGAGTATCTGTTGATTTTCATTCAAATTTAGTTCATAGCTATTGAAAACGTCAAAAAAGGTTTAAAAAGGCTTAAAAAGGCTTAAAAAGGTTTAAAAAGGTTTAAAAATCCGCTTTAATTTTGGACAATAAATAGCTAGTTTCAATCAATCGCATCATAGTTTTTCAATAGAAATAAAAAGCAATTTAATATAATGAGCTGCAGATTAAACTCGATATTTTTGCCTGATATGGTTGCTGAAAATCCATGTAGTTGTCTGTTCCGAACAATTTCCAAACACCACAATATTAAATCTGTATCTAATTTAATCATTTAGGCTTTCCATTGCTTCTTTGATTAAATGCGATCCTTTGGGATCAAGATTGAGTGCGATAGTGAATTCCTTCACTGCCTCTGTTTTTCGATGCAATATTTTATAGAGTTGGGCAAGAAGGAAATGGACAGTGGCTTCATCTGGTGCAATCTCCTTTAGTTTTTCAAACTCCACCACAGATTCCTGATATTTGGCTAAAACAAATAGCAATTGCGCCTTTTTGAACAAAGCTAGTGGGGCCAATGGCTGGATTTCATGGGCTAGCTCATACTGTTTCAATGCCAATTCTCTTTTACCTTCTCTTTCCAAAACCATTCCGACACAGCAGATCAAAATAACATTCAACGGATTGATGCTGACAGCCTTTCGAAAATGATATTCTGCTCTAATATTGTCTCCCAGACTAAGATACACTTTGCCTATCCCGTAGAGAGCATTGTAGTGTCTGGGGTCATATAACAAAGCCGTTCTAAAGCAGTCCAAAGCGTTTTCATAAGAATCGTTGGTTGCATGCTCATGTCCCTGAAGGGTATAGGCGTAGGCAAAACCAGGATCGATTTGTGTTGCTCTTTTAAAGCATTTGATTGCTTCATCGGGTTCTTTCATGAGAGAAAATAGATTGCCAATTGTTATCCATGCCTCTGGCGAATTCTTGTTCACATCGTACAACTCATGCGCCAAAAAACTCAACTCTTCTTCTTTATGAAGATGCCACAAAAGCGTGGAGTAGTATTCCATTTCACTTAGTCTTGTTCGATCTATGTTTCTTAGTTTCAAAAAGTACTTCTCAGCTTTGGAATAATTTACAATTTCAAAATTTAGTCTTCCCAACTTGCCTAACACATAACAAGAGTTTAGATGGTGCTCTGGTAAAGAATTGAACAAACGGATTGATTTAAATAGATCGTATCTATTCATTGCCTTCAATGCCTTTGCAAAAACAAGATATAGATTCATCAAATGGTCGTGCGCTTGGTTGTAATGGTCCTTTTTGATAGAGTTGACAACAGCGATCGATGAATTATTTTGATTAAAAGTGGTGGAGTGAGAAGATGAGCCAGATTGGAAAATGTTGTTGATTTTTTGTGATTTTTTCAAATTCACACTCAAGTTTAGGTTCAGGTTTAGGTTTAGGTTTCTATGATTGGAGCTTTGTATCGGTGTTTTTATTAAGGAATTGCTGTTTTTGGAAGCAGAGCTGGATGCAGGATTCGATATCCAGGCAGATGCAGAAGAAGGAATTTTCCTGATGGAGGATTTAGAATTTGATAAACGCGATGATCTCCTCAAAAGGTCCGATGTGGATGGAATATTGGGAGTTTTGAATCCTTCGTTATTTATGAAATTAGAATTGGAATTGGAGTTGGAGTTGGAGTTGGAGTTGGAGTTGGAGTTGGAATTGGAATTGGAATTGGAATTGGAATTGGAAACAGTATTGTTTAATGATCCAGCGGCACATTTGTCAGTGGCAGTTTTCGAGTTGGGAGTTCGAAATTCTTGATATGGAATGGAAGATCTTCGAAGAAAAGATCTTGAATTGATCGGTTGTGCATTTGAAGGTTTTGATCTCGTTTTGGTCGAAAATAGATTATCATCTTCCAAGTTCAAGAAATTGGAGTTGTTGGGGGTCGACGAGTTGTTGATTAGGCCTTGATTGATATTGATGTTATTGGTGTTATTGATGTTATTTCCCCCATTTTTAGAGTTAATTAGAGTCTTTTTGCTATTATTATTATTATTATTATTATTGTTGTTGTTGTTGTTGTTGTTGTTGTTGTTGTTAAGATTAGGAATAGTGTGGTTTGCTTTGAATAATGTTTTTGTTTTGACGTTCGCTCCCATTTTCGAAAGATCTTCAAAAGATTCCCATATATAAGGGTTTAACTTCAAACAGTTTGTGTAGTTGATTGACGAGTTCTTAATATCCCCAATTTTGTTGTATAGCTTCCCCAATAGATTAAAAAAAATAGACGAATCTGGGATCGAGTTTCTTTGGTAGTTACCAAGCTGGTAACTGAAGCAGTTGGCAGAATGATTATAGTCAGCAAAGTTTTGATCAGAGAATATTGGTTTTCTATTATCAGATGAGTTCCACAAGTACATTGTGTCCTGTAGAGCATTGATTCCATCATCATACAACCCAAGAACCAAAGAAGATTTGGCAAAGATAAACACTGAGCCAATGTGAGACGAAGTGGACGAGAAATTGTACGCAGCCTTGTATTTTTTTCTTTTGAAGAGAGCTAGGGCATATAGGTAAATTGATTCGTCATGTAAACTGCTGTCCCCAGCACCATCGCCAGTGTTGTTGTTATTATTATTATTACTATTATTATTATTATTATTATTGTTGTTGTTGTTGTTGTTGTTGTTGTTGTTGTTGTTGTTGTTGTTGCTGCTGCTGCTGCTGTTATTGTTGTTGATTGCATTGCCATTTTGAACATTAGTTCTGCCTTTGCTGTCGAAGGTGGAAGTGGAAGTGGTTGCTAGAAGCCTTTCGGCGGTAAACTCAGCAGTGGATAGCAAGTCATTGTCCAAGGCATACCAGAATGCTGACGTTAGATGGTGGATAACGTAGTCTTGAACACTCATTACACCAGGGAGAAAGTGGAGCAGAGGCAGTTCTTCAACGAAGACCTGGAGATTGAATGTTTTGCTTCAGATGGTTCCAAGCTGATTGTGATTCACAGAACAACCGAAGAGACTCCGGAAGTGTCTATCAGTTGCCGTGTTCGTGATACGGCTGCGGGCTGGTGTGCATGTGCATGTGCATCGTGTTACATCAGATCCAGGGGTGGGAAGGAGCGGAAAAATAAAGGTGCGCCACACCATAGCAAATTTAAACGGTTCTTAAAATGAATCTACGAAACACTTTCCGAAGATATGTTTTCAGCAGTGGCTTGATTGACGTTGTCCATCTCTGCTCGCAATCGCGTTTTTTTCGGGTCAGTCGATCTGTCGTTCTCGCTATCTCTTGCTTTGATACCACTGTCGAAACAAAGGCAAATTACCATATATTCCAAGATTTGTATCACATGATACTTTATCACTTCCGGTTTCCAATTAAAATACGATTCAAGGTGTTTTTCTTTGAATCTTTTCTCAATTTCTTAACTAAAATGTCAATTGGTAAACATCTTTATGATATTTCCTGCGTTGCTTCTTCTGCTTCTAAGGTCGTTGCTAATGCCTCCAAAATATTTGCCAATGATTTGAAGAAAAACATCAATGATTCTTATATTCTCAGTCAAATCTCGGCTAATGACAAGAATATTCTAAACTCGATATTGGTTAAAACTCATGAGAATAAAAAAGACATATTTGATATAGCCAAATTTAAATCAAATTCCATCAAGTCTTCATTGATTAAACAGTATCCTAACAATACTCTCTATAATGACATCAATAAAACTATTAGTAAGAGATTGTTTTCGACTTATTCAGCTACATTAAATAAGTCAGAGAATAACCACTATGATAATACTCTCGTTGACAGCAATGACCAATCGATAATTGGAGAAAAAGTCAAGCCAAAAATCGAAATGACAAGTTCATCAATCCCAACCTCGAGATTAGGGAGATTGTTTCATTATGGAAGTTTAGCTGCTGGTGTAACTTATGGCGCCGCTACCGAAGGTATTAAACGAATGGCTTCTTCTGATCCAAATCAATCGACCTCTTTGAATTCATTAATTTTGTCACCCAAGAACATTGAACGAATGGCTAAGAAATTTTCCAAAATGCGAGGCGCTGCTTTAAAAATCGGACAGATGATGTCTTTTCAAGATGCTTCAATTTTACCTCCAGAAATTCAGCAAATTTTATTGAGAGTTCAAAGCTCTGCCCATTTTATGCCTCCAGGTCAATTAGAACAAGTTATGTCTACTGATTTGGGAAAGGACTGGAAACCAAGATTGTTTTCTTCGTTTAATGATATCCCAATAGCTGCCGCTTCAATTGGTCAAGTTCATTCCGCTGTCACCAAAGATAATCATTTATCAGTGGTTGTTAAAGTCCAATACCCAGGTGTTGCTGAATCAATTGACTCAGATTTGAATAATATTTTATTATTACTTACTGCCTCAAGAATATTGCCCGATGGTTTATTTTTAGAAAGGTCTGTAGCTAATGCCAGAGTTGAATTAAAATGGGAATGCGATTATATTCGCGAAGCTCAAAATTTAGTTAGATTTCACGACTTGTTGAGAAATGATGATGTATTCCAAGTTCCAAAAGTTATTCATAATTTGTCAACTGACCATGTTTTAACAATGGAATATATGGATGGTGTTGAAATTATCAAGGGCAACTGGTCCCAAGAAACCAAAAATTTCATTGCAACAAATATTATGAGATTGTGTTTAACTGAAATTGCTCAATTCAAATTTATGCAAACTGATCCAAATTGGGCCAATTTTCTTTATAATGAAAAAACAAAAAAGATTCAATTGTTAGATTTTGGTGCTTCAAGAGATTTCGATAATAAATTTATTTACAATTATTTGCAGACTTTACGAGCCGCATGTAAAAGAGATCGTGAGATGGTCCATCATTATTCAAAAGAATTGGGATATTTGACAGGTTTTGAAACTCAGCAAATGGTTAATGCTCATGTTGATTCTGTCATGGTTCTTGCTGAACCCTTTTCTGATGCATTGAATAAGGGTGATCCTTATGATTTTAGTAAACAGACCGTCACTGATAGAGTAACCTCAAATATTAGCTTGATGTTAAATGAAAGATTGGCTCCGCCACCTGAAGAAACTTATAGTTTGCATAGAAAATTCAGTGGAGTTTTTCTCTTATGTTCAAGATTGGGTGCCACAGTTCCTTGTGAACAATTGTTCAAGGAAATTATTGGTTTTGATGAATAGTTTTATTTTTTATCCATATATAAATAGTTAGTTTACATGATCTTATACATATAACTTTTACTTGTTTAATATTACAACGATTTTTTAAGAAGTTAAACAAACTAGGACAAAAAAAAAATAATTTAATAAGCGAATTAAAAAAATAAAAAAATGAAAAAAAGGTGAAAAATAGATGAAATAAAAGACTTTCTTTAATATATATACAATAAACTAGGTATTGGATTTATTTAAGAAATTACTATTTTCTCTTTCCACCTTTTTTTTTTTTTTTGTTTTTATTGGGCGCATTGGAAGTTTTAGTCACTTTATTTGTATTAACCACAAAATTTTCTTCAGTTGTATTATCAGCATTTCCACCTTGAGTAAATTGATTTTTGTTAAAATTTCTACCTCTTTTATTTACTTTATAATATGATCTATCTTTTAATGGCAACCATCTTTCTTCATCAATTTTCAAACTTTTTGATATATGTTGAGGCTTGTTTCTAACCCTTTTGCGTTTTTTATTTATATATTTCTTTGGATTATTAGTATTATCATCCATAAGATAATCGCTTGAAATTTTATCAAAACCAGTTGTTATTAAAGACTCATATGAGAGATCTTTTGTTAATTTATCGATATTAGAAAATTTATGATCGATATTTTGAATCTCATTTGAGTTTTCATTTTTTAATATAAGATCAGTTAATGAATCATTTAAATTATATTTAGATAAAATTTTGAATAATGAACAGCATTTTTTTAATAAATCATTATTAGAGACAATATTTGACAAAGAAATTTCATAAAATTTAAAAGTAAAACTTTTCAAAAACTGAATTTGCAATGAATTTAAGAGTTTATTGTTGCTTTCATCAATGTAAAAATCATAAACAAAATCAAAGATTTTAATAAGATTATTTTTTGAGTCTAAAGATTTATATAATGATAATAAAACAGAAATTATAGCAAAATACTTTGTAAGAGCTAAATTCTGAATTGGATTCAAAGACTTGAAAGTATTGTCTTTTTTATTAAAGGCCAATAAAGTTTCAAGCAAAATAACAGATGAGTTATAATTTGAATTATTGTATTTAATTGATAGTTGACAAGATAACAAAGAGCCTGCGATAGTTTTTTTAATTTTAAATAGATCCAATTCAGTAAGATCATACATATCGGAGTTAAAAGTTGAATACAAGGAATTAATTTGTTTGATAAGGTATTTGAAATAGGTTTTTGATAGTTGAGATAAATTCTGTTGAGAATTATTAAGATCATTTAAATTGATACCGGATAATAAATTTGAATTATTAAGAGAGATCAAACTTAAAATATTAAAATCATTAAATGACTCTAATTTATCTTTGTTATTTTTATTGTTATTACTATCATTAATTGGAATGGATATATTGTTTGATTGAATGTAATTTTGAAATTTTTTCAATTCTAATTCATTCAAGTCATTTTTGATATCATAAATTGAAGCTGGATTAAATTTATTAAAATGCTTAATAAAATGGGCATAAAGAGATTGAATATTATTGTTATTTGATTTAAATTTTAATAAGAATTCATTTCTTTTTAATCGAGATAATTGATCAGGCAACAATTTTGTTGAATTTATTAAAGAAGAAAATGAATTATTATAATTTATTTGATTTAAAACTAATATTGAGTTATTATTGAGAAAATCGGGAGAGTTATTTAAATTTGAATAATAATTATTAAAAAAGATTAATTTTAATAGGTTGTTTTGAGTTGAGTTAAGATTATTAAATAAATTCGAGTTAAATTTTTGTTTCAAATTATTCAAAAGTTTGAAAGAATTTTGATTATCATTTAGTAATTGATAAACAAGAGAGATTTGTAATAAGATTGGAAAGATTTCATTGAAAAAATCCAAATTGTTGGAGAAGTCTATCGAATCATCATCAAAATTAATTTTGAATAAATTCTCACAATTCAATTTAGCTTTTTTAAGGAAAATTAAGGATTGATCTGGCTTATTTAAATTTAAATTGATTAATGAGTCGTTGAAAATTAAGTCATAAGAATTTAGAGTGAGATCATCATTTAATTTTGAGTAAATTAAAAGATTATTATAATCGGCAGAAAAATTATTTAAATGGGATAAAGAAGCTCTTTGATTAATTAATAAATCCAAATTGCTGTCGAATTTTTGAGATGAATTCAAAGAGGAAGAAATCAAATAGTTGTATATAATGAATGAGTCATTATATGAGCCAATTCTGTAAAACTCTTGAGCCTTCAAATGCAATAAAGCGCTTTTAAGATATTTGTTGTTATTTAGAGCCGATAATTCAACCTGAGATAAAAGCGCATGAAAATTTTCATGGTCGCCTAGTTTATAGTAAATATAAGCATTTTCTAGAAGTAAGAAATAGGGGCCCAAGGAATGAGAAAGCCTTTTGAAATTGTCTGACTTCTTAAACAAAGTGATGAGATTCAAAGCAGACTGGTACTTATCATGGGAGATGAGAGTAATGATAGCATCTTGGAGAAAAGCTCGATCAAAAGATTTTGCAGGAGTCTTGATTAAACGCAGGGCTTTTTGGTACAACTCACCAAACTCAGCTGCCCTTGAGCTGATGCCCAACTGTTCGACAGAGTGGGCCAAAGACATGCTAGCAACTGGAACACTTTTCTATCTCTCAACAAGCGACGACTGCAACACCTCTGCTGTCCTCTTCCTCTTGAAGTAATAATCTGATTATATCTACTTTCCCTGAAGGGTCGTTACGAGCATCACGTGCCGGCTAGCTGGCCCAGGACGGAGAGATCGAGCGGCAGATGGCCGCATAGGCCTCGAGAGCCACGTGTTCACGGGTGTGTTCGCCAACCCAGAAGCACCGCCACATGGTGTTTGCAAGCACAAAGTTGCCCTTGCTGCGCTCGTAGTACCACTTGTTCACCGGATTGTTGCTTCGCGAACGCCAGACGAGCTCGTCCGGAAACAAGTCTTTGACCATGCTCTTGAAGGCGATGTCGGCAACACCCGTCGAGCTCTGAGCCTTGCGCTTCACAGCGAACTTGTCCAAGTAAGGAACGGTGACCATGCGGCCGGCGCTATCGAAAGCGCTCTCGTACGTAATTATGGCACCACCCTCGTAGTCGCCGACAATGACCAAGCCGGCCACTTTGCCGTTCACACGGCGAAGATAATGCTCGAGATCCAAGTTCCGTCTGAACGAGTCGTCGATGAGCTCCTTCAACTTCACCAACGAAATCTCTCCCTTTGTATCTAACTCCACCAAGTTGAGTCCCTCCTCAGTATCGTTCTTCAAGAGCTTCACCCCAAGACCCTTTCGAATGATCGATGTGGACACGATTGGTGTTTTCTTCAAGTAAACTGGCAACGAGGACGAGATGATTGGTCTATCTGTCAATATGTTGTATACAATTGGATTCTTAATTACCAAATTCTCAATCACATTTCCATCTTTGTTTATGGCCAAACTATTCGAGTTGGAGTTGTAGTTGTAACTATGTCCATCAAATGTGCTGTCGAAACCATTCTCTAAACCTCCTCGGTTGTATTTATATGCTTCGAATAGATCTCGCTCATTTGCTCTAAAACTATCGCTTAGTCCATGATTTCTAATGAAATTACTGTTTGGATGGTTATTGATGATGCCTGCTGCCTCGGGAGAAGTTATTATTCCAGTGCAATTGTCTGGTAGATTGTTTAATATGCCTCTTAACGAGTTTAAATTGGAGATATGTTGCTCTTTAATAAATGGTTTTAAAAACCCCATATTCAATTCCGAGATAATATCATAATACTCTTGTTCTAAATTAACTAAAACATGGGATCCCGTTGACCTTTCTAATGATGGAATTCCACCTAATGGGTCAATATAAATGATTTTTTCAATTGATAATAGATCTTCATTCTCATTATTCTCATTATTCTCATTATTCTCATTATTCTCATTATCTTCAATTTTCTCCTTTTCTCTTTCATTGTAATTGTTTAAATTAATAGCCAAATTTTCAACGATTAAATCACTTGGTAGAAATTTAATTGAACTATCCACTTTATAATATCCACTGGGGTAAATAATTGGTACAACTCCCTGAATTAATGGTATTAAAACTAGCTCAATATTATTTAGTAAAACCTCGTTTTCCTCATTAATTTCAAATAATTCTCTAATAACTCTTGTGTGTAAAAATTTCTCATCTTCATTAATAACATTGTGATTGCTATTACTGTTGTAATTATTATTATAATTAAAACTAAAATCTTCACTATTATCTCCACCAAACAGATTAATCGAATCCTCAATTATATTAACGATTAGCTCACATTGTCTCTCAAGATTCTTCTCAATTTGGCTAAATGATAACTTATTATTAACATTGTAATCATGGTTATTAAAGTTATACTCATCAATCACTATGATAGGACTAACTCCCAACTTGATTAGTTTCAATATAGTTAATCCAATATTTTTTAACACTTTGGGAGATATACTCTTAATATTCTTAAATTTAATTAACGATATCCTTAAAACTTTTGATAATTGTAAAATATCCTTCTTTTCACACTTTTTCTTATAATCATTAATATTATCCTTAATTATAAACTCTTTTATCTCGCTATCATTATTGATATCAATATTATTAACACTTTCAATATTATCACTCAACAACAACTTATTGATCAATTCATTTCTCTTTGTTAATTGATTCTCGTCATTAGCAATCAATGGTGTGTATTTCTTGAAATATGTTTGTGCTTCTCGCTTAGTAGCTGTGGAATTTAATATAGTCAAAATCAATTCTCTTTTTTCATTGCTAAAATAATTTAAATGATGGTTGTCAAATGTTGTATTATTGCCACTATTGCCATTATTTTTGCTCGAAGTTTTATTTAAATTTTCATTTCCAGTTCCATTTTCATCATTCCTATTGCTGTTTTCAATATTGAATCCAAATCTGTTGGAATAACTGTTGGAATAATTGGTTGAGTAATTAGAATACAATCGACTCGACTCTCTTAAATGTTTGTTCAATATTCTGCTTCGAACTGGAAAATTAGTACAACTCTTCACCGAAAACATTTCTTACTCTATTGCTCGATTGTTCGATTGCTTGACTGCTTTCAATAAACCAAACGAGTGAACAAATAGATGAGAGCAAAGTGTGGGAATATGATTATGTAGATGAATATAAATTGTATATATAACCTCCTGGAAACAAATGCAAATCGCAGGATACTCGAACTCCTCTTCAACTATCTACTGATTTGATCGAGATTACTTTCTTTGATAATGAGTCAGTCTTGCTTTGCTCGGAAAATCGATCATCTTCTCCCCTCAGGGCCCAACCCAGGCAGTAGAAACAGCATAGGCAGCACAGACAGCACAAGCAACAGCAGAAACATAGGCACCCAGTGCTCGCTGTTGCTACTCTCTCAGTGTCTTTGCTCTTCTTTTCTGTCTCAACATTATTGGAATTCTGTTCTGAGTAGCTTGATATTCGTGTGTTAATCTTCCTTCCGTTTGTTTCCACTGCAATTTTACTCGCTTCTCCCACAATTGATTAGATGAAAACTCCCTCAAGAGAAATATGTCCTTTCCCCAGCGTCTAAGGGACACTTTTCTAGCCTCTGAGATCAACTTTTTGGCTGAGAATGAGTTGGTAGATGTTCTACCAAAGACCTCAATGGATTCCTTGCCCTTGATTGGAACAAACCTCCCCAAATTACGAATCAATCAAAAGGTTTCAATACCCATCTGGCTAGCCATAATATTGAAAAAACAAAACAAAATCAATCTTATACCCCCAAATTGGTTGTCTATAAATTATTTGAAACAAAAATACGAAGAGGAACTCAAGAATAAGGACAAATTTTCAGAAATGCCATGGTTTTGGTTGGAATTTTCAAAAATGTTTTTGATTCATTTTAAAGATGATTTGATCGATCCAAGTTATTCAATAAGATCGATTATTCAAGATTTAAGAGAAATTAGATTAATCAAAATAAGAAGTGGGTTCAAGGAATTAAACGAAAGTAATTTAACCTTTAATAACTTGAGTTTGATGGAAATCAACGAAATTAGACCCTTTGCAATCAAAGTAATGGATCAACTAAGAAAACTAAACCATTCAATTGAATCGAGTTATCAATCTCAAAACAATGATCACGATAATGATAATGACAATGAAAATGATAATGAAAATGGTTATCAAAATGATTATGGCTATGAATATGACGATGATTATAATATAGACATAGATATGAATAAATAAATAGATAAACAAATTAATTATCAATGCTACAATACAGTGAAAAAGGCTTTTATATGTAGTTTTCATTATATTTATTATCATTATTCTAAATTGGATCTGTTGTTTAATTTTTCTTTTCTATTTGGAATCTTTAACTCTTCTCATCATATAAAATAAGGGATTAAGGAAATAAAAAAATAAAAAAAATAGAAAAAGTTTTAAGAAAAGTCAGGTACATATATAACCAAAGGAGTTTCTTTTGATTACTTTTATTACAGTGAGGATAATAAACAAAATATTATAATATATAACTAAGAAAAGAAATCAATTGAAAATAAAAAAAATAAAACCAAACAACTTTCCAATAATAAATTGATTTTAAATTTAATTTTATATTCCAATCTAATTCATAGCTTTAATTAATGAATTAATATTATCTTCACGGTTACCAAAAGAACCACCTTGAATAAAATGTTGGAATTTTCTTCTAACACCCCAACCACCAGAAGGATTAGATAATTTAAATGGCCATAAAAAGTTATTAGCTTGTTTGAAATTTGGACCAACAGTAACAATTTCGTGGATTAAATCGTCGATAGAGATAATACCATATTTACCCAAGTTAGCTTCAATAATAGAGTTTTCGGTTAATGGAATTCTTTGTTTGTTAACCTTACCATAACCTCTCTTATAAACTAATTGACGAATAGTTGAATATGATGGGTAACCGTAAGCAACGTATGGTTCAATTAATTTTAATAATTCACTAGTGGCTTTTGTTACTCTGACAAAAACACCAGCATTGATTTGTAGTAATCTTAATAATTGTAAAACTTTTCTTGGTTTTGGTGGGATTTTGTTGATACCTCTGATTCTAATAACAAAAACCAATTTTGGTTGAGCTTCAACATAGTATGAACCAGCTTTCTTAGCATCACGCTTAGCTTTGATTAAAGCACGTTCAGAATCAAAGTATTCTTTTTGGTAAGCAGCATTACGTTTGAAGATAGTTTGTCTTTTAGCTTTTGAAGCCTATTTATCATTTAGAAAATAAAAAAAAAATTAATCAATAGTTAGTATTGTTGATTTGATTAAATTGATATTGAATAGTTATTAAATAGATATCAATTATTGAATTTATTTTTATTTTATCTTGCTTTTTTCCTTACAATCGAATATATCTTAGACTAATACAATTAAAAATACAGTTCTCAAATATTCCCATTATTATTCTTTATTTAATAATTTTAATTTCAGTCCCGAAAGATGGTATAAATAATAACAGCATCGCATAAAGCTAGTTAATTAGGTAAGGTTGGTTTTCATCACAATTAAATTATTAAACAAAAGATATAGGATGCTTGTATTTTTAATTGCTTTTTGATTTTGTAACTTGATTAAATTACTTACGATTTTACGTTGAGCTTTAGCTTTATTTAAAGCTTTGATGTTTTTTTCCAAAGCTTTTTGTTTTTTCAATAAAGTTTCTGGAGGAAAGATAGCATCAGCTTTAATAACTGGTCTATAATAGTAGAAACATAGTTAGTATTTAAAATCCATCAAATATATTAAATTACTTTTTTGTAAAAAACAATCATAAAAATTTCTAAAGAAAATCATTGGAATGAAAAAAATCAGTAATTCAAAATTTTGCTATTGGTGAAATCGAAATTTAGATATTTAACCTTTATAAAATCTTTTAAGAATCCCAATTTATTATTTGATGCCAAAAAATTTCTTTGTATTATGCTTGGTCGATATAATTGATAAATTATAAAACATTTGCCGTAATTATATAGCATTGGTCATAAATACTAATTTTTTGTTGATGTTGAAAAAAGTTGTAAATATTAAATAAACTTATAGTTGACTTACTGTTTTGGAGTCTTGGGCTTAACTGGAGCCTTTGCTAGAGCCTTTGCTGGAGCTGGAGCAGGTGCTTTGGCTTCTGGTGCTTTGGCTTCTGGTGTTTTGGCTGCAGCAGGAGCTGTGGTTGGAGCAGGGGCAGGAGAGGCCATTTCTATTTCCTTTTTTCTTTTGATAATAAATTATATTTTTAAGTTGTTAAACCTATTCCTTTACTATTATATTTCAGAAATACAATATTATATCAAATCAAAGCTACTGTTCTATGGAAAGCGATGGAAACAGTTCTAATCGCACTTTTTATTACCCGTCTGAAAAAAAACGAAGGTGAAAATTGGAAAACACCAACTGCGGATCTAAGCTCATATCCGGCACACGGAAAGTTGATCCGTGAGCCAACAATAACAGGACGCTCAAAACTTGCAAGGTCCAATTAAGCGGTACATTCCACATTAAGTAGTTCACGTGCAAATCTATAGGGCTGTTTACTTGAGTGCTTTCTGATTGGGGCCCTATATGCTTATGCACTTTTCTGTTTTTATATGCGGAGAATCTGTCAAAATTAATCCGAGAACTGAGATACAAATCCCACAAAGAACTGCAGTTATTGCAAGAGGGTTGGTAGTAAATGATTTACTTTCTCGAAGTTTACTTTTAGAAATCATAATTAAGAGGTGTAAAGTATTTTGTGTTATTTTATAAAACACTCTTTATTTTTGAAATCGCTTTTTTGATTTCATGTTTATTTTTCTTTAGAAGATATTTTAATAGAAATCATTCACTTAATCAAATTTGCGATCCCAGATGAAAATAGAATTTTTATTCCTTCCCAACTAGGATTGATATAAACTTTTTAATATATATATATAATAATGATTTTTGAACTTGTGAAATACAATTTGAATTTGAAATTTTTTTTTTAATTCAACTTTGATATTAAACATTGTTTACGTGAAAACCTACAGCCAGTTTCTAACAGCCCAGAACGAATTGAAAATTAAAAAGCTTGATGAGTGCAATTTTATTTTGGAACATCAAATTGAATATAGTTCTTGTCAAAAAAAAGTCATTCAAAAAAACATTTTTTATCAATACAACAATACATCTGATAATGACCCAATTCCCAATGGCATTCAACGCTATTTAGACTTATACCGGCTTGATAAGTGCCTATTGTTTGCCAAAAAATCAAAATTTCAAAATTACATTCGGGACAACATATCATTAAAAGATTATAACACAATAACCACAAATATAAATTGCAATTATCTAGATCAAGAAATTTCAATCAAGCAAAAATATCCTGGGAACAACAACATAATCTCAATGCTATTTGTTATCTCCCAAAATATCAAACATCAAAAACAATTTAAAGTAACAAAACCTGGTTCGGATGCAATTTTTTACACATTAGATGATGTGTTACAAGACCAGCACATTCAGGGTGATTTGGTTGTCTCGCTTAGTTTGATAAGTTGGTATCTGTGCTGAGCTGATGCTCAAACATTTTCAGCTTCAAGGAAAAATAATCAAAGTTGCAAATTTGACTGATACCTTCAAAGAAAAGCCAAAAAAATAAGTTCATATATAGATGGATATGCTAATGCATAAAAGTATATTATTATTTAATGAATGTAAACTCGATTATACCACCACTAATTTTTACTCACTCTTCCAAATTAGGAAACTTTTGAACTTCTGAACTTTTGAACTTCTTACTAGTTTCATCCAGCTGGATCTCAATGTCATCTGCGGCTCACAACGCTTTGCTAATGTCTCAGTAATACCAATAGCTGCTTCTCATTCCACCTACGATCTCTTTTATTCAAAAAGAAGCTGGATGACTAACCTCACATCCCACATCTATCTTCGACTTCGGATCGGACAAAAGTCATTCGGATTAGAAATTACCCGCCGCTACTTTGGAGTTTAATTCTGATAAATTATATCATACCTTCACTTCAATACCTTCAGATCATCGACCATGTTCAAGAAAAGAAAAATTCAAAAAAAAAAAAACTCTTTCAAAAATGATTCTATTCAATTTAATCAACTTAATCAATCTAATAGTCATGATAATGATAATGATAATGATAACGATCTAATTTATATCGTTAATAAAAGAAAAAATAAAAAAACAATCTCAAAACTCAATACAGATGATAATCATAGTGATGATAATCATAATCATCACCAAAATAACCAAAAAAATCACAATGATAATGATAATGATAATGATAATGATAATAGTGACTTGAATCATTTGAATTACATCAACCCTCCAGTTAGCTCAAATTCAACTGCTCTGAAATTGAAAAACATCAAATCAACCATCATTACAGACTTTCAACCAGATATATGCAAAGACTTTAAAAACACTGGCTACTGTGGCTTTGGTGATACCTGTAAATTCCTACATCTAAGAGATGACTTTCAAAAAGGCTGGAAACTAAATGACAATGATAAAGAATGGATAATAAACAGTACCTCTCTTGACAACAAAATCAAAAAAAAAATTATAAACGATAAAATCCCATTCAAATGCCCAATCTGTAGAAAAACCTACAAAAATCCAATAAAAACAACCTGTAACCACTACTTTTGCGAAAAATGCTTCCTCGACCGATACTCCTCCAAAAACATCAAAAAATGCTTTATCTGCCATGCTCAAACAAATGGAATAATGTTTCCTGCAAAAATTCTCCTTCCTTCTCTTTCTCCTTCCACTTGAGTGGCGATTTTTCTAAGCTCCACCCTCATTGGCTACTTCAGGGATTGTTTCCAAAATAAAACAAAGAATGAAATCATCAATATATCTATCAATACTCCCTTTTTCTTTCTCTTCTTTAATCATTTCAACCCATTGAAACAATCAATTCGTATCATGCCAAACAGCAATCCATTTTTAAGCTCATCGAGTTTTCTCACTCCAAAAAGTAATGCCTCAAAAAAAACAAAAATGTGAAAAATTCACAATCTCTTGATCTATCTTCTCATCAAATTGATATACTAACTTCCCTATTCTCTTCAAGTCTAAACAATCCTGGCAACTTTACTGTATTCAATATAAACAGAAGTTTCAATTTTACTCCATCTCATGATTCAAATGATATCAATCATAATTTAAAATTCCTATCGAAAAATCTAACATCAAACATCTATCTATCAAGAAATATCACTGACTCCTTTATCAATATTAGTAGCAACGACGGAGTTTCTAATAACAAAGTAATCAGTCTATTGGTTTCAAAAGAATAAAAAACGAATTGAAAATTTGGCCTCAGTTTTAGGATCAAAAAAATTACAATTGTCTCAATTAATTAGAGAATATAATAACAATCACCAACACATTACTCATACTACTCATTTCAACAATTTGAAATCAAAAAGAATAAAGAATGATCAAAATAATTCAATTAACTTTGAAACAATTTCTTCAAAAATTTCTAATGACTCATTAATCACAAGTTCAAAATCCTATCCAAACTCTCCACCAAAATGTTTATTCATTAATAACTCTGCTAGTATTCATAATAACCCAGCCAATTTAAAAGTTAATCAAGCCTTGATTACACAAATACTTCTCAATCACAATGCTCATAATGACTATAGTCAATTTGATTTATCATACAATAATAATGATAATTATGATAAAAACAATAATTTTTTAAAGAATCTTGATAAGTTCAATAAATTAAATCAACAAAACCAAACTCATTATAATTGTCCGATAACTGCTAAAAGTTTAATACTAATTGATCTCAATGGTGAATATTACTATTGATAATAATTATCTATAAAATTTATTTTTTTAAAACAAAATAAAATAAAATAAAATAAAATAATTTGAAATTCATTTTAAAGTTATATCGCAGCTTTTTATAAACGGGTTTTGTCTTGGAAACTTCATCTTTGTTTAGTCAATTTATCTTGAAATTTAATACAACTCATTTAATTGGCACACTATATGCTGTCATTGAAAATGTATTGGATAACTCAACTCAATTTGATAATAATATTGCAGTCTAGTTCTCAAAGTAATGCTATTGAATTCTCTTAAGATCCTCATTTCAATACTTTCAGATGATAGAAATTAACAACCAAACTAGCACTTTTCTCTTGCAGATCATCAAGTTTATCTTACTCATAAAGTATTTGTCCTTTAGTTTTTCATACAGCTAGTAAACCACTCTAACTTGTTCTAATATTTCAACTTTTAAAATGCCCTATGATCAAAAAAAAATATTAGTGTGATTGAAAGTGGCTTTCAGTTGCTTCGAGATTAACTAAAATCACAGGTTCTAATTAGATGACTTGATGAATGTGCAATCATGAGAAGAAACACTGAACCAGGTACTAATTGCACACCAACCGATACTACAAATGAGAACGATGGAATGGATGTTTCTAACTTCAAATCTAAATGGACAAGATCTAGATGTGTTCCAACACTCTTGGTGAATATAACTACGAATTTCAATAGAATACTACAAAATATACAATTTATTGTCAGCTCTACCAACCATTATATATAAATAAAGTGTCAATAATTAAATAAATTGTTTAACAATTTCTGTATTATTAAAAAGCTAAATCTTATATAGCAATAAAAATGTACGACTAATATTCTCCATCATTCAAACTGTATTTTCCCACCCCTGGATCTGATGTAACACGATGCACATGCACATGCACACCAGCCCGCAGCCGTATCACGAACACGGCAACTGATAGACACTTCCGGAGTCTCTTCGGTTGTTCTGTGAATCACAATCAGCTTGGAACCATCTGAAGCAAAACATTCAATCTCCAGGTCTTCGTTGAAGAACTGCCTCTGCTCCACTTTCTCCCTGGTGTAATGAGTGTTCAAGACTACGTTATCCACCATCTAACGTCAGCATTCTGGTATGCCTTGGACAATGACTTGCTATCCACTGCTGAGTTTACCGCCGAAAGGCTTCTAGCAACCACTTCCACTTCCACCTTCGACAGCAAAGGCAGAACTAATGTTCAAAATGGCAATGCAATCAACAACAATAACAGCAGCAGCAGCAGCAACAACAACAACAACAACAACAACAACAACAACAACAACAACAACAATAATAATAATAATAATAATAGTAATAATAATAATAACAACAACACTGGCGATGGTGCTGGGGACAGCAGTTTACATGACGAATCAATTTACCTATATGCCCTAGCTCTCTTCAAAAGAAAAAAATACAAGGCTGCGTACAATTTCTCGTCCACTTCGTCTCACATTGGCTCAGTGTTTATCTTTGCCAAATCTTCTTTGGTTCTTGGGTTGTATGATGATGGAATCAATGCTCTACAGGACACAATGTACTTGTGGAACTCATCTGATAATAGAAAACCAATATTCTCTGATCAAAACTTTGCTGACTATAATCATTCTGCCAACTGCTTCAGTTACCAGCTTGGTAACTACCAAAGAAACTCGATCCCAGATTCGTCTATTTTTTTTAATCTATTGGGGAAGCTATACAACAAAATTGGGGATATTAAGAACTCGTCAATCAACTACACAAACTGTTTGAAGTTAAACCCTTATATATGGGAATCTTTTGAAGATCTTTCGAAAATGGGAGCGAACGTCAAAACAAAAACATTATTCAAAGCAAACCACACTATTCCTAATCTTAACAACAACAACAACAACAACAACAACAACAACAATAATAATAATAATAATAATA